AAGAAACAGTTGGACCGAACCGCCTCCTCCCGGTAGCATCTTACGCAGCTAACTATTCGGGGTTTTCAGCAGCTATTTACAAGTTTATTCTGACAGACCATCGTGTAACAAATATTGAGTCCTTACAGTAGCGCTAAATAATGAAGAGGACTGGCAACATCCCACTTGCCATGTTTGTATCCTTTCAGAGCTTCTCTCTCTCTCTCTGGAGAGTTCCGTTTAAGACAAAGACTTCAAAACAGCTTTTTTTTTTTGCCCCTGTAGAAATGGCGAAGATCTGTTTAACGTCCTTTGCAGTCAGACTATCACCACTCTGCTTCTGTGAGTCACCGCCTATCTCTGAAGTGGACAAGGCCACAATCAACACGACAGCTCTCCTGCATCTGCTGAGGGTTTCCCTTCAATATCGGCACTCTGATTACTTCAGTTCTTTTCAGCGGCCCATCAAGCGCTAGCCTTTTGCATGTATTACTGAGTACTGTAGGTCAATGGGTGCAGTTCACTTACATGCATTACAGACTAGGGAGAAGTGGTCCATTTCTAATGGGTGTTTTTCATCAGTGGCCCTGCTAAAAATGATGATGACGAAGATGACAAAGCAGAGAAATGTGCAACTGTGGGGGAGAGAGGGCTCAAGGTTGCCACCTGGGTAGGGTTTTAATATTTCTGGATATTTTGTACAGTTTATTTGCAATAAAAAAAATATCACCCCCAAAAAAGAAAACAGTAGTTATGACCAGGTCAAGCCCAGTTAATTATTTAAAATTGTCAACCAACAATCAGAATGAAATAATTTTGTTTCATTCAAGTTGGAGCATGGACTAGAGGAAGAGCACATTTTGCTTATTCTTATGATTTATTCAAAATAATTATGATGAGAACAACTAAATATCTGTATGTTATACCTATGAGTTTGTTTATTTGCTTTTCTCACAGTACACTTAACCCTAAGAAGCAATAAAGCATACAGGTCTTCCACAAGATATTTATTACTGCAAATTTGCAATAATCTAAAGGGTAATTTAACTCAGAATAGAACTGAAATTAATTTCCATGTAATTCAGTTTTACTGAGAAGGCCAGTTAAACTACATAGATATTTGATCATAAATGGAGGTCCTGTAACAACCTTGTGATTGTGTGTGAAAGATTGTAAGGCACGAGGATATGAGCACAAGCATTCTCTCTTGGCAGGATTTGTGCTTGGAGTTCAGTCTTTATTACAAAGAGAAGATCACGATAGGGTCATAGCAGTTCCCAGAGCATCTCATTTTATTTCTGTTCAGTGTTTGTTCTGGACAGATGGCTCGCACGGTTGATGGGCTTGTTGTTTACACTGATTTGTGTCAGATTATTACAAACTGCTTCATGCAGCAACTTAATGGTGCTAAACAGATGAAAAGCTTTAACGAATGCTGACAATTTGCCACAAAATATAGGATGCTTTGTTTTTATTTTTAGAGAATATTTTCTAGTTTCTTAAAATAATTTCACCACATTGAAATAGAAAAATGGTAACTATGTCTCTGTGTAGATATATATACAGTATAATAGCATTACGCTCACCTCAGTGGGGAGGATAGCAGAGTGATGAAGCCAATTCAGAGAGGGGGATTATTAGGAGACCATGTTTGGTAAAGTCCAGGGAGAACTTTGGCCAGGACACCGGGGTAACACCCCTACTCTTTTCAAGCCCTGGGATTTTTAATGACTACAGCAAGTTGGGACCTCGTTTTTATTATTGAATTGAGATCTACTGTATCTGCATTTAAAGCGTTTAAATCTGAAGCTCTGTACAAAGAGCAAGTGCTGTACAGTAGGTGACCTACTGAAGCCGAGAAAAACATTACCTGAGATTTTTTAAAAAGATTGGCTTGTGCTAGCCTTGGTTGGTGCGGAAACAGGAGAGGGGGAAAAGGCCTAAAAAAAAACTGACACTTATATTCCATTGTGCTGTTTCCCATTCCCTTGACTTTCAGATGGAGAGAACAACAGCGTTACTGATATCACTGTAATAGTCATTTAAATTTCAAATGTTCCCATGTGATGTCGACACACAACGCTTTTCAAAGCCCATTGATGTTTCCAGGCCCTTATTAAAGCCTTCCATGGTTAAAGGTGGGCTCTTGCAGCTGCAAGGCGCTCTGTGCCAGGGGCCCCTTCCTTCCAAGCCCTGCTCAATGCCATGAAACGGGTCATTGAGCAGCTAAATGGAATCATTATGATAAATAATTAAAAGAATGGCGCACAAGATTCCAAACTTTTGCTCTCTCCTCGCTCTGCCCTCATTCGTGTTTTCACAGGCTTTTGCTTGATGGCAGCTGCCTGAGGCGCTATAACTATCACCTCTTTCACTGAAATGCAAATTGCATCCTTACCAGCTAATTAAACTACATTATCTATAGTCCTTGGATTTATTAAAATTCTAGCAGCGTTTCAGAATTCTGTGGGAAGCGAAATTGGTTTCAGGTTAGGTTTTTGATTTTTTTCCAGGAGGTGTTAAATGTGTTTGTGAATGCAGCACGGCAATGGAACTGGGAACACTGAAGTGGTCATTAAACACGAACAAAGGAGGCAGTGGAAAGCCCACTTGTCCCTTATTATAGTTGTGTGGATGTATAAATATACAGAACAAGCAGTACGTGTGTGTATACATACATACAGGCATGCTACCTTCACAGAAAATTAGGAAAAAGCCCTAACAGTCAACCTCCAGAGATTACAGTTGCAATAATTTGCTCCGTTGATTGGACTGGATATTCACAGGTGTCCATAAAGATATGGGACCACTAGATGGTAATAGTTGGTGACTCAGCTCTATCTGAGATGTGGGCAGCATTTCAGTTGCTTCTCGGGGGGAATTATATTCATAAACCACTGCCTCTAAACCTCTGAGACTCTCTGGATTAGCCAGTTATGATGTTGCCTTCAGGAATGCACCAGTGACATCTGCACCAGTAGTGTCTCTTGTGAGGTCATTTACATCAGTCTTCTTCCCGATAACACGGTATACTGGGGAAAAGACCTCCCCTACTACTGCTTTACAATCCCTAGTAGTACTGGGAGATACATTATATAGGATATACAATATCATCTTCTAGAGCTAAGCCAATCCCACTGATCTGAACAGTAATGGTTACTGAAATCCATAGCAGAGCATGTATATACACAGACATGCATTCATTAACACCAGCTTCAGTTCTCCTAGAAACTACTTAACATAGTAGTATGTCTTTGGACAGTGGGAGGAAACTGGGGCTTTTCTTTGGGGAAACCCGAGCAAATGCAGGGAGAACATACAAACCATGTATACACGTGTGCACATATATATATATATATCTGTTATACAGTACATAAAAAGGGATGATCTGAGTTTTATTAACTGAAAATAAATTATTCTGAATGTCTTTAATATTAGAAACAACATATCTGTTGTGTATACATAAAACACTAAATAACGTGCTATATTATAAGCAAACAGTTGATTAAGGCGTATCAGTTTTGTTTGTGGTTTTCTTTCCTTGTGACTTACAGTAGCATGAACACAGATTAGTATTGTTAAAGGATGGAGTCTCTTCAGTTTGGAAAAAAATATATGAAGCTAATACACTTTCTTAAACGTGTGCAGGACGTCATATAGCCGAGATCAAGGTATATTTAAATTTCAATGTAACAGTTGTATCCATAACAGAATCCTATGTGCATCTAAAAATAATTGTTGGTTTGAGCAAGATACTCCATAAAAATTCATGATATGCAATTCATGATTCATGAGGATGATTCTTTCACTCATTTATTTACTTACTCATTTGTTCATTAATTCATATATATTTGATTAATAATAATATTTGTAGCACAAATCATATTGACAAAAAGAGCTGCCTTCAACATACAGTAGTTCATTATAATTTCTTTAAAAAAGGAACATCAGCACTCATTTTCAACTGTACAATGCTACCAGTACAGTTAAGCTGTATCTTTTTTTCTTTAAAGTCTGTGTGCTTTGCATTAAAAAAATCCCAGCTGATTCTTTGAAACTGTTTAGAATGTACAGCAATGCTTTTATAACCAACATCCAGTTTCTCCATTATCATGGTCCTCTACTAAAACTTTAATAATGTATGCCAGAACGATTGAGGGAAAAAAATGATGCAAAACATGTTTTTTCTCTTTATTTAATTAGGGTCATGAATGCTTCTTCTCTCTGTGTAAGTTCGTTATCATGACACTATCTGTCACAACTCACTATAACACTGTTGATCTCTTTTATTTCTGTGTTTTATATACAGTACGTATATAGTTGGATGAGCTTGCTGACCCCATGAGTCCAGGCACAGCTGTCCATAGACACTCTCTGGAAGCAGAAACTAATCAGCTAATAGTATTCATTCAAGTCCACATGTTAAATTATTTTACTGGCGTGCAAACTTATAGTGTGCATAATTAAAACTGACATTTTATATTTTGACATTTATGATATTCTACCAGAAATATTGCTGAGAGCAAAATTTGCTTGTGGACCTTCCTGAAAGGACAAAATAATAGTTAATAATCGAAATATTTCCTCTGCCCCACATCCTTCGGGAAAAGTACCTCGTTTAGCGAAAGTTCTGAATTTACATTTTTCTACACTGCCTCTTGTCCAGGTTTTCCTTGTTTCTTCCTCGAAAACAGATAGGAGAATAAATTGAGAATAAATGCCATTAACACTTTTTACATTATTTCCCCCCTGTAATTAATTGTACCCGTTGTACTTGTCTGTGATGAAAGGTTGATTTCCGGGGGAGGTCTGCTGGTTGTATTCATGGCTGACTGGTTCCACAGCTACCAGAATAGGGTTGGTACTGTAACTTCTGAAGGGCCTCTTGCGCGTATCCCAGATACACGGTATACTGTCGTAGGAAATTGAATCTGGTGGGAAGAGATGATGACAATGGAGTTGTACTTTCATTCTGGGAACAGGAGATAATTGAAGAATGGGTGTCTGTCTTGTGTCTGTAGAAAAGGCCAGGGAAGCCATGAAGAGAGGGCCACGAGACAGACCAGGCGAGGAAACGGCTTGTTCCTGTTGGACAATTTAACCTGAACTCGCAGAGGTGAGTAGAGAAATTGGCTTTGTGCTATAATCCTCTATAAGCCATGTTGCATTGGTCCGTCTGGCAGCATAAGACTTAAGCTATACTGTGCTTAGGTCCTGACGCTTTTTAATAGGTTCTTGTCTGTCGCCAAAACAAACTGGGGCAAACCAGCAGACAGTAGGTAATGCAATGAAGAATCTAATTGTCAGGAACTCACAGGATTATAGGCAACATCAACAACAATAGTACATTAAGTAGGTGATTTTACACAAAACGTGTCAGATAGATGCTAGGAGATGGATCAGAACGAGGTTTGCTAATTTGGTTGTGCCACTGTAAACTCTCTCTCACTAACAAGCCTTTTTCCTTTAACCACTGGATCACATAACTTCTCAGGGGTAATAGGTACACATATTAAAAACTCCAGCACAAAGGCAGCACTGACATTTTTAACAGTTGACCGAAATATACGTTTTGTATCCTTTTTAACAACTAACCATCAAAAGGGTCGAGTTCTCACACAAAGTCATGTTTGAATGATTTTGCATTGATGTGTCTACATAATGTATGGTCCAAAAAATAGAGATGGGGAATTTGCACGTATAATTCTTCTGGAATTACTGGCAATTATTGAGGGGTTACTAATTAACAAAGCAATTTTCTTCAAGTTAATTAGCTTGATAAATATGCAGTCTTAAAGCATATGTGATGTACAGTCTTGCTTAACTATGGCAAAAGAATGACTTGTCACTATAGAGCAATGTGCTTTGAGATTTTTTAATTACCAGAGGTTTCTCAATATTGGTTTGGCTTTTATAGTTATATAGTTTTATAGTTATGTCTTCTTATGTATATTCTTTCAAAGAATATAGAGAAAACACTGAGTTAAAAATAGCTTTCCAGTATCTGTTTAAACGTTTGTCATCAAGGTAATATAAAATTTTCGACTGTAAGACATATAAGAAATATCCAGATAAGATTGTACTCACATCTATATTTACTTATAGAATGTTTTTGATTATTATAAGAAAAGACAACAAACAATATTCACATGAAGCTTTTTTCTCATCAGATTTCTTATTTCTTTACATACTGTACTTCTGTTTCATCATTAATGTAAACTTGGTGCTGTCAAATAGCAAGAAATTAGATGTTAGAACGGTTAGCTCAGGATTACTTATTTACTAATTCCGATGAAAATTTAACGCGGACAAAGTGAAAAATGCTGTATTCTGGGCTTCTTTTCTGTCCCCTCAATGTTTTTATACTGTATGAACTCTCACATCGCACCACTTTCAACAGCAGTTCTCTGTTTTCTGTGCTTTTTGTGCTATTAAATATTATGCTTTCGTTCTGCCTCGATGCAGCTTCATTATTAGATATTTAATTAAAAAGCAACAGCGGATACTTCAGAAGCTTAAGAGAAGTGGATGGATGGACAAATTTAGCAGGTTCTTCACCTATGAACTTCGTGGGACTCTGAATATACTTACAGTACCTTGTCCTACAAATGAACAGTTGTAACGGTTGTGATCGAGAAGGGTGCAGGTGTTAAGGTCAACAAAGCCCACTTACGGTACTTTTCCTTTGCTCTGGAACAACCATCAGAGTGGACACGCCTGTAACAGGAGGTGATGTCAGTTCTGATACCGGGGACTTCAATGTAAGACTGACATCAGTTAAAAGACTTTGAAGAGGTAAGGTCTTCAGCAAAAAAGTGCCGACGTGGCTTCATGTTAGCTGAGATTAGATAACGCTATAAACTAACAAACAAAAGAGGGATCCGTCCTTTTCAGACTGTTTTCCCATTATTTCATTTGAAGTTGTTTGTAGAGCCCCACGATTGAAGGTACATTTTGAAACCTCTGTTACTATTTTTAAAAAGAAGCAGTTACACCCTTGGAAGCACAGGGAGAGATCAAAGTAGAAAAAGATTTCTATTTTGGCAGTGATATACTATAATTTATAATTTATAATTTATAATTTATACACTGTATAGGCTGAAGACCCTCAGATCCATTGGACTTTTAATGTTTAATTTCTCTGTCAGACATGGTAATTATCACATCAAACTGAAACAAAAATGTGAAATAGAATATTGACATTACTCTCACTGTATTTTCAAACATTGACAGCTCTGGTGTCCATGGAAACACAGATTAAAATTTCTCATCAAATTTGGATGTAATAGCAAAATAACTAACCTAAAGTAAGAATAGTGTGATGTTTATTCATTAGCATTTATAATTCCAGAAAGCTTTAGGTTTATTTTACAAAAGAACAAGACAGTGAATGGCCATAGAATCACACTGTATCAAATTATTTTGGAAACTGAATTCTTTGCCAGAAAGAAAAATTCACATTACATTCTCTTCAATCCTCAACGCTAAATTAGATGGCTGACAAATAGCGATCTTGGCAAGTACAGTAACGTGATACCTTGTCTCTGAAGCATGCTGCTGCTACTACCCTGCTCGCTAGCTTCAGAGCATTGTATATAAATGCATATAGTGTACATAAGCTTTCTACTGCAGAAATGTGAATAATTACTCCTCACAAGATGTGTTAAAACTGGTAAGCTGGCAAGCTATTGAGCTAATGTGCATCTGTCTGGGTTCAGAGGGAGAGATCTGTAATAGCTTTACAGCAGAGGCAGTTGGAGCTGCCTCTCAGCTACATTGCTCTGGGTTTCATTCCACCCTTCAGCATCTGTCTGTGTGGAGTTTGCATGTTCTCACCAGGTGTTTGTGGATTCGTGCCTGGTGTTCTAGTAGTCATATAATCGTTGGTTTTAAATGTAACAGTAGTCCTATAACATTGGGAACATTATTGTTTTCTAGTGTGACTACACAATATATTTGATTACACTCTATATACAGTACACTCTACCCAAGCGCACAGTTTTTCTGATATAAAATGATACCACCACCACATACTGTAACGTCCTCATCACTGCCTGCTGTATACAGTATATTACAGAGGGTCCTTTGCATCCTGTTCAGAGATGTAAAGATACTGTTTTAGTGAATGTATAGGGATGCATTGTACTCTAAATGTTAATGAACAAAACTGGTCTCCCCTCCAGCCTCTGATGGAGGGGATTTGAATGATGCTGTACGAATGATGCATATAAACAGTCATGGCAGCCCCATGAATTATTAATATAGGTATAACTTGGATCTTTTCCATCAGAGTGAGAACGGAGCTGAATATGATGTTGATAAAACATTAAATGGTTCCATGTAACCATCTAAACACCTTCCTCCTCTCTTTACTACCATACTGCTCCTTTCTCTGGTGAGCAAAGCCAGGGCTCAGCCTGGCAACCAAGAGTGCTGCCCATAAATATATCCCCTGTGCATCCATCCAGGGTTGCGGCAGCTAACTGCAGGGACTGTAAATCTCGCGCTGGAAAACTGGGTCAGGGAGCTGGAAACCTGGCTGTGGAATATCAATATGAAATCAAGGGAGAGAAGTGTGATTGACAGCCCTGAGAGAGGTGCAAGCTGTGAACCATTTCAAAGGGAAGAGCTTCATATTAAACAGAGAGGGAATATTAACCAGACCTTCACCAATTGACTGTTTTGCTCCGATGCCCTCTGGACACCTTATTGTAGGTAATTTTTTTTTCTGCGATTATCTTAATATGTAAGGTTGGAAACTTATTTTCGTCATCCGTTTTTAAAGCTTGCCTTTAAAATATTTGGGGGGGGGGGGGGCATGGGATCAAATGTTTTCAAGCCAAGTCATTTTCCACTGCTCTTGAGTTCACAGGAATCCAATACCCTTAGTTGGCTAAAGATCTGTTTGTTGAAGTTCAGAAGCCAGAATGGAGAAAAGTCTAGTTGTGCTGTATGCAGATACTGCCAGCCCTATAACTTAAACCTAGATATGACTTTTTTTTTCCAAATAACTGAACCCTTCCCCTTCTGTTACTGAATACACTTACAGTATCTAGGTGTATGCTCACCGGCAGACATGTTTTCATCAACAACACTTTTAAGCCTTCCTGTTTCGTCCTGTCAGCTTCTCTAAGTATCACAGATCATCACTATACCAGCACAGACTGGATGGTCTTTGCCTCTGCCGTTATCAAGACAGCTGCTTGTTTGCAAACTGCTTCGAGCGGTTATTACTCATATTCCTGAATCGTATTTACAGCTGCTCAACACTTAATTTGATCTCCACGGCCTTTTGCTCCCATTCACCTGTCTTTCTGGTACATTTGTCATCAATCAAATATATATATATATATGTCAACATAAAAAAAAGAAAAAATGGGCAGTGTGTTGGGCACATTTATGAGTTGTGAACATTGCAGGGACATTTTCCGACTTAAACCTGGACTTCTGTTCAACGCAGTGCAACAAGCTCTTTAATCGACACTCCCAGTGTAATCATCAAGTAAAATTGGTTAGCAAAACATCTTCAGCTGTTACGATAGAAGCCATGATGGTGGTTAATTTTATTTCCTGTTGGGGAACAGCCCAGTGTCCAACAGAAATCAACAGACAGACGAGTCATTATACTCTCTAGTCCTGGAGTAAGCACAGCATCACATTAGTTATCACATATAATTATTTATTTATGCAGGACAGAACAGACCAGAAAAAAAAATGAGCTGCATCAGCTTCCCCCAGTGGTATCCTCTGAACAGCAGTAGTTATTTATATCTAATTGCTTAGATTTCACATCCATATGTAGCAGGGAGTGTGTGGTTTAATTAGATTATCAATAAAATTATCAACGACTCAATAATATGCTCAACAGCAAACAAAAGAGCCGTCATTGTTCTAAAGGGGCTTTCTACGATAATACCAGTGAATAGTCATTACCATAACAACCCATGTGAAAATACAATAATATATTCCTCACTTTCTCAATCTCATGAGAGATTGCTACATGCTACATGCCACAGGTCACACACAGTACATCACTTAACGGATAATCTAGTGAAACCATATATTCCATACTGCAAGAGAAGGAAAGCTCGTCAAACTTAAATCACATGCCAGAAT